AGTTGTAGCATTATTTAGTACAGGTACACCTCAAGGTAAATACATGTTTTAGTATTCAACAAAATTCTAAATCGTGTTTTGAATAAAGATATATGAATGTTGGTCCTAATATGTTTTACCTTACTATGGACCAGGTTTAATGGTTCTACATATGGTATCACAATCACCACAAGTTCGACCTCAATTCCATGTCCCACTTATGATAAGTTGTTTAATGAAGTTCTTCAGTCTTGCACGTGTTCAAGATCTTTGTCGCATGTGTTTACTGAAATTTATGCTCATACATCTTTGTTGATATTTTTATAGGTAATTAAAAGATGGTTCGAGGCGGTTAGAGGTAGACTGTGCTTGCGTTGGTGAAAAAGGAGAAATAAATTAAGTAGTTTAAGAATTTTTATTAATGTATTTGTTCTTCTCTTTTTTTTTTTTAACTGATTTAAAGTTTTGTAATTTTAAGCAAAATTATGTATTTCCTTTATGGAATGACTCCACCGTTAAGTTTTGGATTGTCACAGTGCTTGTGTTTCAGAATAAAAAGCACGGTAATGATACTTCAATAAGCCATCCAACAAGTCACAAAAAAGATTCTATTAGAATACAATGTGAGATATCTTTTGGAGACTTTTTTACCAAGAAATGCGCACAGCTCATTAATTCAGGCTTCTCATCCTCCATGCATCAGTTTTTCCACAATGAGCTCTTAATATCTTACACCCCATTCGGCCCCCATTTTTTGAAATGAAAATGGGTAGAATAGTATTTTTTAGAAAAATGAATGATTGAAAAAGAACAAAAAATTTTCGATTTACGTGTAATATTATTTTATGGAAGATTGTGTGATTGAAAATAGGAGAGAGAAATGAAATTTAATGGGGGCCAAACGGGGGCTTATTATTAGCCCCAATTTGGTGTTGCTAAAAATAAGATTTTTTGTAAATTTTATTAGAAGTTGATAAAATGTGTGGTTAAAAAGTTTATAAAAGTTATGGGTGGTTGAAAATTGAGTTTGGGGAGAAAATGAGTTTTAAAAAATGGAGGTCAAATAAAGGCTCAATATGATCATGATTGTCATAGAACTCCGATTTTTACTTTGCAGGAAGTTAAAATACGGCCCAGATTCTCCAGATTGAGATCGGGTTGAAATCATTTTTTGAATGTCAAACCACTACATTGCAGCACAAATTTTCCTTGAGGAATGTATTTTTCAGCTAAACACAGTAAACATGTATGCAAAAAAACTCAAGCTGTAAGGATTTTATTACTCATTAGACTTCAGAAACAGATTCAGTAGAATATTGGTTGGACCGAAAGATTTTCTAAAGCAAGTACCTCAACACGGATATCACATAATGCTTTCAAAATCACCACACGAACACCGGGATCAAGTGCATTATATGCTTCAACTTCGGCCCTAAAACAAGAAAACTCGTAAATATTCACAAATCCATGTTTCCTGAACCCAAGAACAAATACAATTTTTAGAGATTTCTGAAAATGCACGTCTACTAACCCGTGTGACGCAACTATAGGTATATCTCCCTCTGCAACCTGAAATGAAACAAAAATCCAATACATAGTCACAAAATGGTTCAATTCATCCAAAAATCTGTTCAAGCCACTATTTAATTACCCAATGCCACCAATCTCTCAGTTTTCTGCATAAAACAGTTATCCAAGTACCATGTCCCAGCGCCATTCTTGTGATAGGAGGAATTGCCTGTAGAAAAGCAAAGAAAATATATAAAAATGCTTGGTATGGTAGCATGTAAATAATGTATAACAGAATAATGCTTCAGAAACTTTGTACAGATTATATAGATAACAATAGACGATGACATAAAAATAAATAAAGAACTGCACATATAGAACAGATCATGAAGCATCTGAATTGCCATTCGAAAAAGAATGAACTTAAGAAAGAAAGAGATGCAAATATAGCATCTTTACAAGACATGAACAAATCAGTGGCACAAATTTGTGGAAGAGCATATAACTCAAAACAAGTCCATGAAATTCGCCTTTGTGGCCAACAACTAAAAATCCAAAACTTGATAAAAAAATTCAACAGCCTACCAAGGGAATAAAGAAGTCTCTATGAAAAGTACAATTGACCTGATCCAAACAGTGGGGGAAGAAGGTATGTACCCACTGAGTTTCTAATTGGTCCCCAGGCTTCCCATTTACCTGCATGTCATTCTGATAGACTTGGCAGAGTTGATATGGCTCTAATTTTAATAGACTGCTAATAATCAGTAAAAGAATAGTCATCTAGCTGTCTGCTCTACAAACAGCACCATAAGTCAACTTCAAACTAAGTATAGCTGTTCCCATTAATGCTAATATTTAGATGAAAATTCTCTCCAAGTCGTCAGCTTAACACCAAAATCAACTTCTCTTACAATTCCATCTCTTAGTAGCTTCATCATCGGAGAGGGTGTAAGAGTTTCACACCTTTAAAACAAAGTGGTGCATTTTACACCTTTCACCTCCTCTTGTTTCACTAGCAAACCATGAATTGACATTGTTAACCTTTGAACTTATTGCCATGGCACACAGATGTAAGGTTTGGTAATAATCGATAACTCACACAATTCTGCAGAAACGGAAGAAGCTTGAATCATAGCCCTTGTTCAATTTCATTCATCTATGTTAGAAAAAACTTTAATGGGCATTTCAAGAATAAGTTAAATCTTATATGCTTATACATCTGATCTACATCCTAATGGAAATTCAGATCTATTTCAAATAAATCATATAGTCTAGCTTTGTGTCTCAAATTCCTATCCTCTATGGATAAATGTCTTCTTTACTGAATTTTGCAGGACTTTCAAGGTGATCATCCACGCGGGGAAAAAAAATAAATGAAAACAGAAAGAATAAAAATAATGAAAGATCTTCTCTAGGATCCAGAGAGCTGAATGAAGGTGTCTATTGGCAAATGTCTCAGCAGAAAATAACTGAATAGTATAGATCTGACACAAGCCAAATCATCTCCAAACTAATGGGTTAGTTTATAATGTCTTTCACAAGACATAATAGAAAATGAGTGCTTGTTTAAAAAAACTTTGCTAAAATTTTATAAACAGGTCAAACTTCAATGTTAAACACATTTAATGGGACCCAGGACTTATATAAACTTTTCAACCACATATTTCATCAACTTCTATCAAAATCTGCTAAAACGTTTATCAAAAGCTTTGTTACACAGCCCTGACCTACAAACATCAATACTTCGAAATCTAGATGATAAATGCTCCAGTCTAAACAAATAAATTCACATTCACCCTAACCTTCAATGCAATTCGCCAAGGAACACCTTGCAAATACAAACTTTAATTATTTCTAATCTACCATGCAAGTAACAATTATTCTATTTATTCTGCGGGAAATAGATGCATACACTTCTGAATACACCACAGAAACACCCAGAGCAACCAAGGAGATTCAATTAACACATGTGATGAAGTTGCACCGCACACAAAATCTCAACATACGCCAATATTACAAACTTTAATGACAGAGCAAACATTACTAACCTTCAACAATGGCATATGTATATCCCCCAAAGTATTATTAGGCATAATCAAAGCCGTCTCAAACTCTTCTGCAGAAAACTCCGCTTTAATATTCAACATATGCCTAAATACCTTCACACAACACAAAAGACACATTAGCCTTCAAACAACACATTCCCCATAAAAATTCTGATCATTTTTCGCTTATCATCTAATTCTCACTCTCTTCACATACATTCAAGAAGTTGAGTATAGAAGCCAACTGCCACATGGACCTAATGTCCCACCGCGGCAACTGTGAGGGCTCCGGCTCCCCCACCAATGGGGTAACTGTTTTACTACATTGCTGAAGTGACGATGAAAGGGACCCATTCTCCTCACCATCCTCTTCCTCCCCATCCTCCTCCTCCTCCTCGTCAGACGACTCCTTCAGAAGTCGGGCCGCCAACCTCTCCCTTGTCTTGACCTTCTTCCGCTTCCTTTCCTTCTCAGCCATAACTGCCTCCGCCTCTGCTGCTGCCTGCAACGTGGCTGCCGCCCTCTGTGTACATGCCCTGGACGGCCTCTCCCGCCTGACTAGTACATTGTTATCATTATTATTTATACTACTATTCTTAACATCATCTTCCTTAATATTCTCAACATAGTTGTTTTCGACATGGGAATTCGGGTTGTGAGGGTTTTCCGATGAGCGGATCGGAGAGGATAGCTCGGGCATGGTGGACAGATCGGCTGCAGATGGGTCTAGGGAAGAGTTACACGCAAGATCAAGGGCTTGCATTGAAGCAAAAATATTCTGTCAAAAATTGCTAATCAATTGAAAGGGGCACTAGTAAAA